GGCCCCGAGCGCTTGAGGAGCTTAAACAAGGGTAGCGCCTTCTCTCCCAGCCTTGATATGAAACGACTTAGGGCGGCCATGCAACCGGTGACGCATTGCACGTCCCTAAGTTTGCTGGGGGGGCGCATCCGCTCGATAGCTCGAATCTTCTCGGGGTTGGCCTCAATGCCTCGGGCAGAGACCAAGAACCCGAGAAGCTTACCCGCAGGTACACCAAACACACACTTATCGGGGTTCAGTTTTATGCGGGCGGAGCGGAGATTCTCAAAAGTTTCCGCTAGATCTGAAAGTAAGGTCTCTTGGTTGCGTGTTTTTACAACCAAGTCATCGACATACGCCTCAACATTACGTCCTATTTGACTACCCAAAGAAATTCGAGTAGTACGCTGAAAAGTAGGACCTGCATTCTTTAACCCGAAGGGCATTGATGTATAACAATAGGTTCCTACGGGGGTAATGAACGCAGTTTTTTCCTCATCCTCCCTAGCCATGCGAATCTGATGGTAACCAGAGTATGCATCTAGAAAACACAAAAGGTCGCACCCCGCAGTGGAGTCGACGATCTGATCTATGCGAGGCAGGGGGTAAGGATCCTTAGGACATGCCTTGTTAAGGTCGGTGTAGTCGATGCACATCCGAAGCTTGCCGTTCGCCTTGGGAACGACCACCGGGTTCGCCAGCCACTCCGGGTGGATGACCTCACGAATGAACCCGGCCTCCAAAAGTCTAGCCACCTCCTCGCGGATGAAAGCTTGACGTTCCGGGGCTTGCCGCCGCACTTTCTGCCGGACCGGCCTTGCGCCCGGCCGCACGGCGAGACGGTGCTCAATCACCTCCCTGGGGACCCCGGGCATGTCCGCTGGTCTCCATGCGAAGACGTCAGCGTTTGCCCGCAGGAAGGAGACGAGCGCGTCTTCCTATTTGCCATCCAGAAAACCACCGATCCGTGTGGTCTTGGATGGGCCGTCGCCCAAGGCAACCTCCTTGACCGGGACCTCGTCGCAAGTGGCCATCCGCTGCCTCGGGGCGGTGGGGGCAGAAGGGCCAAGCCTCTCGTCACCACCCTCGGGCTTGGACGCAGCAGCGAGGCGGTCCGCGCGCTGCTCAATGCAAGCAAGCGCGACTTTAAGGTCGCCACGGACAGAGATGGGGCCACCAGGGCCCGGCATCTTCATCTGGAGGTAGGCGTAGTGGACCGCCGCCATGAACTTCACCAACGCGGGTCTCCCTAGGACCGCGTTGTAGGGCAGACTGAGGTCCGCCACATCGAAGCTCACCCGCTCCGTGCGGAAGTTGGCGGGTCCACCGAAGGTGACCGGTAGGTCAATGTGACCTAATGGCCACGTGTGCCCCGGCGTCACACCGATGATCGGTTGAGACGGCTGGAGCACCATCCCCGGGGCCTTGATAGCATCAAAGGCCGCGGGGGAAAGGATGTTGAGAGCCGCTCCTCCATCTATGAGGACACGTCCCAACTTCACGTTGCAGATGGTGGGGGAAACCACCATCGCAACCTGCCCTCCCCGGGCAATGCACGGTGGGTGGTCAGTCTGGTCGAAAGTGAGAGCGACCTCCGACCACCGCGCCCGACGCATCGCCTCATGGGTAGGGGCCATGGCCAGAAGCTCTCGTTTCATAGCCTTGAAGCTCCGGCGAGAGACGTGAGCACACGCTCCTCCATCGACGGTGGCAATGGTGGCCCCAGGTTCTTGGAAACCTAGGTCATCATCACCATCATCGATGTCAACAGCGGGGGCCTTCTGCTTGGCCTCACCTCGCCGTTTGCCGGATGGAACCACCGGGGACTTGCCCTCACGGCGTTCCTGCCTCCTGTCCTCCTCCCACTTCCTCGTTCGCTCAGCCAGGTTTTTGACTGCACGACAGTCCGCGAGATCGTGGAGGGAGGTGTTGTGGACGGAGCACCACCTGCCGGCGGGGCGCTCCCTGCCGGGAGTTCCGGCCTCTTTCTTTTTGTCGCTCGCAGGCCTCCCCTTTCGGGTGGCCCGCGGAGCGCCCTCGACGGCGAGGACATGACCCTCGTCGCCGGAACGGTCCGTCCTCTTCTTCCTCCTCCTATCACGCCGCCCTGTCTGAGCGGCGGATCCGGGGGCGGCCGAAGCTGCCACTCCGGAACCGGAGGAGTTCCAGGTCCACGCTTCCTCCTTACGAGCCACTCGGTCCGCGAGCTGAAAAAGCTCCGCGGTAGTCTGGGGCTCTTTGGAAGCGATCTTTTCGAGCATGCGGTTGTGCCGCACGCCCCCCCTGAACGCGTAGATCACCGCGTGTGCAGGGATGCATGGTATAGTATTGCGGACTTGGCAAAACCGCTGAATGTACGAGCGAAGCGACTCATCATCGCCTCGCTGTACTGCATGCAAGTCCGCTTCTTCGCCTGGGCGCGGATACGTGCCTTGGAAGTTCATGGTGAACTGTTGGCACAAATCTTCCCAGGAGTGGACCGACGCGGGTGGCAGGTTCATTAGCCAACCCCGCGCCTGTCCTTTTAGGGCCATGGGAAAGAAGTTCGCCATGACCCTGTCGTCACCCCCAGCGGCCTCAATCCCGGTCGTATAGACCTGGAGAAACTCGGTGGGGTTGACGCTCCCGTCGTACTTCTCGGTGATGGTGGGCCGGAACCTTGGGGGCCAACGGACGTTCCGAAGACTCGCCACAAAGGCTCTACAGCCAACACCACCGGCCGGGGGCACGGAGGGCTGATCTTCACGTCCATGTCGAGGTGACACTCTGGACGAGGAGGCTCCCTCCGTTGCACGGGGAGTACGCCGGCTATTACACCGGCGCCCGATGTTGAGGCGGGCATCCGGCTCCCCATGCTGATCCTCCCGAGTCGACGGTGTAGACGAGGGAGTGGCAGCCGAATGACGTGCAGCCGCCGCCACTCGCCGCGCCCTCCGCCTTGATGATACGGAGCCGGTGGTAGCGGCGCCGGAGGTCTTGGTGGTGGTGGCGGACCGTCCACCAGCACCCAGGCGCTGCTGTGCCGTCATGACCAAGTTGGCCACGTCTTCCAGCCATCGTTGGGCTGGAGACTCCGGGTCATGGACGACAGGCGGGTGTCGTAGGAGCGCGCCAGCAGCTTGAAGCGCACCCTGAGGCGTGCTGCCGTCGCCGTAGACGAGGAGGCGACGCTCCCCGTCTCGCCGTTCTCCTGCATCACCTGCGGCCGGTGACGCTGCGGACTTGTCGACCCTCTCAAGCGCCTCCCCCTGCTTAGGGCTTTGGCGCGGAGGAGGTGGAGGAGTACGAGCTCGACGGCGTGGATTCGGCTCCCCGTCGTCGCCGCTCACACTCGGCGAGAGGTCGTGCGTTTTTCCTTGCTCGGCCATTAGGCTGAACAAGAAAAACTTGGGGCACACGGAAGAGTCTGAGAGCTCTGAAAGCACACGCTGAGCCCCCTACCTGGCGCGCCAGATGACGGAGCTCGTGGCTCCTCACCGGGAGACCGCGCAGGCCCCCCTTTGCCAGTTCGGCCGGGGGCTTAGGGTGAAATCTCAAGCTCTCACTCTCTCTGTATGTGGTCAGATTACTCGTCGGCAAGACACACGAGACACGACGATGTATACAGGTTCGGGCCGCCGCGAAGCGTAATACCCTACTCCTGTGTTTTGGTGGATCTGTGTATGAACGAGCTACAAAGTGTCCGCTGACTTCTCCCCCGTTCTCAGCTTTCAATCCGGGAAAAAAATCCCCCCTCTAAATGGGCAAGGTCCTCCTTTTATATCTCAAGGGGATACCACATGCACCTTTCTCTTTCCAAACTGGACTGTTCTTTTTCTCTTTAATGGGCGGAGATCGGTACGGTTTCCATCCGAATGACACTTCGATGGGACAGCCCACACCTACCTCCACTCCCGGCGGAGACGGGCGCAACGTGGGATCGTGGCTGCCCGTTGCTGACGCGACCAGTGTCAGACTGGTCATTCTTGTCCACCATGTGTCAGTTTAACAAGATGCATGTTTGCCCTTCTTCGTGTAACACCTTGCCTGTAATGGTTAGGATAAAGCCTGGTATAAATCTAACCAGGGCTAACGTGCCATCTCTAAGAGATAACACGCTAGCTCCGGCTTGAGACGAGTTGCCTAGAGGCTTTCGTCTTGACGGGATGGGGCAAGGCGTGCGTCAGACCGCCAGTCGCCACCTAACCCTTGATCTGACCGGTCTGTGACTGGTCACAGACCGGATAAAAGAGCGTGCTGTACTGCGTTACATGCAGCGTGACACGCTTGACCAGACTGTAATAAATGCTGTTAGGTGAGCACAGCTGTGCTCACTTATCCCATATATGTGGCGCAGACTTCTTTAAGGGGTCGGGGTGCCTCGGCCCTCGGGGCCGGGGCAAGCGTAACCCGACCCCCCCTCGGGGGAAATCAGGAGGAGGGCGGACACCTCACCCTCGGGCCCGACGTCCCCGAAGGTGCCAGGCCACGCGGGCGATTGCGTCTACCTCAAGCCTCTGGTCATGATACTCCCGGTCCCATATCACCGACAGGAACATTGAGCAAAGAACACAGACTTACGGAGCAAAGCAACTACACTATTGATTCAAACCATGGTGTTTATGCAGCTGCATAGGATTGCCAGGTCCTAATTGGCTGATTCTGCCACTAACTAGAAATACTATACTTATATTAGAACTCACGTTAGATAGATAGAGTAGAGCATATATAGGGGGTTTAGCCCCTCTCTCCTAAACACCCCCATAGTTGTGAACTCCCCCATTTAGATCCGAGTACCATCTTCTTATTGGCCTTGTTTAGATTCTAACTTTTTTTTCTTCAAATTTTAAACTTTTCTGTCGTATCGAATTTTCTTACACACACAAACTTTCAACTTTTCCGTCACATCGTTCTAATTTCTTCAAACTTCTAATTTTAGCGTGGAACTGAACACAGCCATTGGCTTGTGGCGTGTGTGAGATGCAATGTGATTGAATTTTTTGGAATACCCTCCTTTTTATTTGAGAATTTTTCGTGCAGCTGTCAAACGCTTTCAATCTGGCGGGGTTTATTTGTGACCCTCGATCGGTCAATGGCCAGTAGCAATCCATCCGTCCGTTCAAATCCCTCTCTGGGAAACGGACGAAACGGGAGAGGCGCGGAAAACCCCCACCCCCCAAATCGGAGCGCGGAGGCGCCGACCAAGAAACCCTACGCCGCTTGGGCGGCGATGATGGAGGCGGCGCCGGACGAGGAGGCCGGGCTGGCGCTCCCCGAGGGCGAGCGGATTCTGGAGGTCACCCTCATCTCCGCGCAGGGGCTGAAGCCTCCCTCCGGCCTGCGGCGGCGGCTGCTGCAGGCGTACGCCGTGGCGTGGGTGGACGCGGCGCGCAGGCTCCAGACGCGGCCGGACCGCGCGGGCGGGGTCGACCCGGAGTGGCACGAGCGCCTCCTCTTCCGCGTCCACGAGGCCGCGCTCGCCGACGACTCCCGCGCCGCCGTCACCGTCGAGATCTACGCCGCGCCCGCCGGCGGCTGGCACATCGGGGGGGACTCCCTGGTCGGCTCCGCCCGGTTCCTGCTCGGCGACCACGGCCTCCTGTCCCGGCCCGTCGGGTCCCCGTCGATGTTCGCCGTCGGTGTGCGCCGCCCCTCCGGCCGCGTCCACGGCCTCCTTAACGTGGCGGCCAGTCTCGTCGCCGCGCCGCCGTCCCCGGCAGCTGCCCACGCTCTCCGCTCATCCCCCGCCGTCTCCCTCAGCGGCCTCTCCACGGCGCCCATCCCAGCAGGCCGCGTGCTCCGCGTCCTCAACCGCTCGTTTCCGACGCCCCCACCCTCTCCGACGGTTCTTACGACCAAGAAGCAGCAGATTGCAGCCAAGCCGAACAAGAAGTGCGCTGACAAGCTGGACGTTGCGGTGAAGCTGAACAATGGCGCAGATGATCGGAGCGATGAGGAGCGTGAGGAGTTGAGAGAGATGGGCGGGGTGGTGTTTTGCGGGCCTTGTATCCTACCATTACCAAGAAAGATCCACATAAGCCCCTCTGACGAGAACCTGCAGGCCTTTGCTAGCATCTTCTCCGGCGGAGTTGGCATTACCAGACAGAGCCCTCGCCATTGAGGAGTCCAGGCATTTAATAGGTTCGGTTCTTTCAGTTGATTCCTTGTGGAGATAGCCTGTTTCTTCTTGTTGTGGAAAATTAGTTTCTTAACCATGAGGATATAGTGCTGAGTTGTATTATAGCATCTATTGTTGTTACTGCAAATATGTCTCACTGATTCTTTTTTGTGTGAATCAATGGAATTATAGAATTATAGTGCCACAATGAATAGCGCGGAATCATTTTGTTATCTGCTATGCTCAAAGAACCTCAATTTAAGGTTTGAAGATTTCGTTTGAAGCAATATAAGCCTGAATGCCTGAGTATTTCCACTCATCTTAATGGCATATGTGGATATTTTCTTGTTGCTCAATATCAAATTTATCGGTGATAGTGCTATTGTGAAGAATTGTCAAATTGGATTATTCCTGGGGCTGTTTGCTTTCTTGATGCTGCAGCTGCATTGCAAAATTGTTGCCTGGGTTGATTTGTAGTAGCATTGCAAACTTAGATGTTGTGAAAAGTTTTAATGACATCATATTATTTTCAAGTATTTTCATGTGAAATATGTAGCCACTGTTCTTTAAGGTTAACTTGGCCGTACATGGGTATTCATGTTTGTCTTACACTTTACCTGATGAATTATGTTATGTACAGACAATTCATAATAACTAGACATATATCTATCATTTCACTGCTTCTAATTAATGTCTTCTGTGGTCATGTGGAATTTAGTAACAGTTGAACCTTTAGTTTAATCTGAGGGACTATTGATAATTTTAATTCATATTCAGTGATCAAAAGTACTTAATCTTAGATTTAGTTTGAAAGGTGTGATTGTTTGGTTTAGAGGAAAGATCACACATTAATGATTGATCAGCATGCATAGAACAGTATTCTATGGTTTTTTTTTTACAGACTAGCTCTGTGGGATAGTTCTCAAGCCTTAATGGCCTTTGAATTATTCTGAATGATCCCTTAATGAAACATAAAATGAACAAATGATTATTATTATAATAGTGCTGGGAAGATTAATAAGCAGAAAGATACTTCAATGGTAGAACCAGAGGATTAGTGCACTAAAGGCCTGATGCAAACAAGTCCATAGTGATTTGTTTTCCCTTCTTTTCTGAGAACAAAAAATGATATCAGTACTAACTACTCTGTACTTGGTTTGACTTTTGAAAAGTCAAGTGTTTTGGAATGATTAGTGTGAGCTTTTTTATGTGGATATCATATTAGTTACCATATTTGTTGCAAAGGACAATAAGTCTTAAAAGGTTGAAGATGCAAGTGGCAGATTAAGTTCAGGATGATGCTATGAATGCCATCTGGTTCTCTCACAAGTCACAACTATCAGCTTAATTTCTGTAACTTTGTTTGTATTCTTTTGTTGAGATATGTTTACTGGGTTTAACTGATTTGCACGTTCTTTTATAGTTTATGTCATAATTCTTAACACACAAAGCTTCTTTATGATGATTTGGCATGTGATGGTTCCAAGTGTCCAACAGTTTTTTGTCCAAGTCAGTGATTGAATGCAGGGAATAAACATCACTTGTACTGTTGTAGCTAATTACTATCCCCTGAATGTAGTTGATATTGTTTCCTTCTAAGTTTACAATCTGAACTGCAAAATCTGATAGTATTGTATAGGAATGCTTTATGGACTGGGTTAAAATCTTGCAGGCCATGTTTAGGGCCCAAATTCGAAATAGTTTCTTTAGCCTGTGACTATTTATGTCTCGAGCCTGTTTGTGGCTTTTTTTTTCATAGCCTAGGCTTCTGGGGCTTTGTAGTCTGCTGATATCGTGGGACATCTAATTGTAACTTTGTTGTATTTGGCTTTTGTATTACCAATTTTCTTTGCATTGATTCTGAAATTACGTGCTTCCTCGTTTTCTATCTTACAAATGTCCATGTTCCTTTTCGATGTATCGGAGTAAGATAAAGACAGTTTTGGTTAATTGACAACTCATGGAAAAGTATCTGCAGACTGCAATGTTAAGTTATCTTCTAAAAACCAAATGGTATACTTGCTTAAATTGTTAGTGATTCTTAATGCTTCCAAAGTTCCATTGTAGGATCAAGGCAGATTTGGTGAAGCACTGAGAGATAAAGTGCTGTATTATAAAATTGTCTGGAGGATATCCAAAGCTCATATTGTGACCTTACGATCTAAGCATTGGGTGGACTATACATGTACAGTGATTTTTTAACCGTTTTGACAGCCCTTTCCATCTTGGTATTTTATATATTTTTTAGCAAACGGTAATTCAATGAACTATAGCGTCAAACTTTTGAGCATTTCAATGTAGTTTTGATATCTTTGACAATAATTTGTGGACTATTTCTATGTGATTAGTGGATGCTTTCTATATAAACAATCCTCTTGGTTCTGATGTAAAGCATTATGTGCCGTGTCACTTGAAAATGACAAAACAATATTCAGATTCTGAAAAACCATCTGCCTTCTTGACTTTGATGATTCAAGTATCCAGCAAGGGGATAGCAAGCAATAAACTCATGATGTTAGGTCATTTGAAGATCACATGTTTTAATAGTTTTGTCAGGATAGTTTGTCGGCTTTTTTTGGGTTTTGGCACATTTTTTAATTTTTTTTTCTGTACCTCGACTATTGAGTATATATTTTTTTGTCAAGAGCTGTGCTACAGTACTTATGATCCTGTATGACGTGCTGCCACCAAAACTATCAAAGATGCCATTTTCACTGTACACCTAAATGGTGGTTTCTTCACCATCACCATCGCCATCCTCCATTCTAAAGTCGTTATTATAGTTTCCATCAGTTGGGTCATATGTGCGATTTCTGCTCTCCAAAATCTGCCTGCTTTCTATGGTAGGATCCTATGTTCCGATTTAGCCTGTTCCCTCGTATAATTGTTTTCCTGTTCACTCATATTGCTTTACAATGACTTATCGACTAGGGTAAACTGTTTGACAGTTCAGAACTGGAAAGGGCCACTTGCGGCCGTCAGATTTACGTGGAACTCGCTGTTCCTTTGCTTATTGCGCTTATTGGACACTGCATAATTCTCCAAAAAGAGGCCATAAAGAAGTACTTGACGATTGTGACCTCACATCAATGGCCACATACAACCATGTACCATCTCCTTTGTTTTTTCCAGGACTTTTCCATCTCCCCCTTCTTCCAATTGCGATCCACACAATCCTGATTCAAGTTGCGCCACCGACGTAACATGCCGTCTTTTTCCTGGTCGATCCTTTGATTGCCTGAATTCTTTCTTCTTTTTTTTCTACGCCCCAACTGGTTGATTTGGATCCCATTCGTTCCCTCTCCTTTACCGGAAGAACCAGCCCACTTCTTTTTTTTTTCTCTGTCTTTGCAGCTTTTCAAGTGCAATGTTGGAGAAGATTTCTTCGACGGCGCGAGCTCCAAGAACCTCACAAATTGTTCCAATATTCCATTGCACACTCGGGGCATATTGGTTGGATCCTATTGTTTTAGATGCTGCCCATTTGCTAAACACGCCATGTTAGAGGTCTACTTGTCCTTTCTAGGTTCCTTTTCTTTTGATGCGTTTGCATATACGGTATATATGTACTAGATTCCATGGAGCATAGCAAAAGATAACCACTGTTGCTTTGCGGGCATCTCATAGAAGAGAGGAGCTTCGTTGAGTTGAAAATGTTTCAAGGACAAGTGATGCGAATTCTGTGTGATGCCACAAGTGGAAAGAATAGCGCAAATGTGGCAAGCAAAGCAATGCATATGCGCTGCTTTTCCTGGTAGGTATGTGGCATTGCTAGGTGCGGTGGTAGATGTCCAAGGGGAAGAAGCACAAGGAGGCAGCCGCCTCTAGTGGCCTCGCCACTCACTCACACTGCCCCCGGAGTCTTTTGCTCTCCACCACCTCCCATGTTTCAAGGTAAATTCGTCGTGGTGGTTTCATGCCTTGTGCATATCAAGAAAGATGTACTTAAAGTTCCTGATGCCTTGCAACGTACTCGAGTTTATATATATATATATATATATATATATATATATATATATATATATATATATATATATATATAGAGAGAGAGAGAGAGAGAGAGATTATGTGACGGTTGATTGTGTTTCTTCCTTAGAAGTTCATATGCTCACAGGTGCTAAAGTTTCGGACAGTCAAATGTATCGGCAATACCGTATAGAGGATGCACGTTCATTTTATTACTCCCTCCGTTCTATAATATAAAAATCTAGAACCAGATATGATATTTTATATTACAATGAATTGGACAGTGATCATTTTATTATTTTCTTCATTCCATAATATAAAAATCTAGAACCAGATATGACATTTCATAGTACAATAAATCTGAACAAGGAATGTCCTGATTCATTGTGCTATGAAATATCTCATCTGATGCTTACATTTCTATATCGTGGGACACGGAGGGAAAAACTCCAAAGTTTGTAAAGTAGACTGGTAGCTTCATAGGGTGTGGGTGTCCCTACATTCTGCTTATATACAATCACAAAGGGTATCATTGCTAGCTAAAAACAGTCACAGTACAAGGTAATCTCTCCGTCCCATAAAAAATCAATCTAGTACTAGATGTGACATATTCTAATACTACGAATCTAGACATACATATGTCCAGATTCATCATAGTAGATATACATATGTACATATTTATCGTACTAAAATATATCACATCCGGTCATATGTTTATTTTTTATGGGACGAAGAGAATAGATGAGCAACCGGGCTGATTTAGGGTGTGTTTGAGAAGAAAGAGATTGGGGAGATTGGGAAGATACGCAAAACGAGGTGAGCCATTAGCGCATGATTAATTGAGTATTAACTATTTTAAATTTCAAAAATGAATTAATATGATTTTTTAAAGCAACTTTTCTATAGAAAATTTTTATAAAAAATACACCGTTTAATAGTTTGGGAAGCGTGCGCGTGGAAAACGAGGTGCTTTCTCACCCTATATCACACCCAAGCGAACGCAGCCTTAATATACACCTAGCCAAAGCTACCCGACCACAACTGTTCTACTAGGGGTCAGTGATTCAGACATTCCGTACTCATTTGTTCATACCATCTTCATTTCAAAATATTCATTTCAAAATATATGATATGGTTTACTTTTCGTATAATATTTGATCATTCGTCTTATTAAAAAATTAATATAAATATGTTTAAAGAATAAGTTAAGTTTGTATTTTATTTGATGATAAAATAATTCACAATAAAATAAATAGGGACATATCCGATGAAATGAGCTAAGTGTTGGAAACTCATGAAAATCATACTTAAAAGTTTAGTAAATTCATGAAAAAAATACTAGAGATGGGTGTAGATATGAAATACATTCTCACCAAATCCCAGCTCCAAACTCAACTTCGTTTATTTATGAAACTTTCAGATACGATTTTTACGAGGTTTTAACATTTAGCTTGTTTTCACACTTTGAAGATGAGTGATTAAATGTTATGTAAAAAATCAACGACATTATAAATTTGGAATAGAGGGAGTATTTGCCTTGCACCCTTTCCGACAGTTGAGCAGACGAAAGTATCGCCGCGACGCCGCCTCGTTGCTTTTTACTCCTACGTGGCTACGTGGTCGTCTCCTTTGGCCTTGGCCGATTGATCGATATCAACATTGATCTTTTGACGCGCCGAATAAATAGGTCGCGACGTTCATGAGAAAATCCACCCGGTATTGGCTTTCTCCCTTCCGCGTACCGGATGCTCAAGTGCTCAACTTGGAAACACCGTGCTTGCCTGTTTACACATAATCTTTAATTTTCTGCGATGATTGCCTGTGCCCTGACACCTCGCTGCCCGTCCGTACTAGCTTTATAAGCCTTGTTTAGATAAAATTTTTTTAACAAAAACATCAATTACACAGTTTGCATGTAAATTACGAGACGAATCTTTTAAGTCTAATTACGTCATGATTTAACAATATGATGCTACAGTAAATATTTGCTAATGACAGATTAATTGGGTTTAATAAATTCGTCTTGCAGCAGGCGAAATCTGTAATTTGTTTTATTATTAGTCTATGTTTAATACTTTAAATGTGTATTCATATATTTAAAAATTTTACACACATAAAACTAAACACAACCACAGTGTAGTGTGCACCTAAAGCTGGGCCTCATGTCTTCAGGACAAGCAAGGTTCCATTGTTAGTCTGAAACAGAGATAAGTGAGGCAGGCAGCTGAGAGGTCACTGTTTTTAGCTCTCCAGGCGTCCAGCTAGTTACTGTGTTGGCGTTCAGAGAGTGACACACACACACACCGTGGAGCATCTGCATGCGTCGGGCTCGTCGCGTTGAACTTTCCTTTACATTTATTTTCAGAATCAATGCCTTGGCAAGTTGACATACAGTAGTATATCTGTGTAACTTGAATGTAGTAGATGCGCAAACTGTCCTCAGTGCGAGGTTATGTGGTTATTTGTTCCGTTGGACTGAGCTGTTTAGTCATTTTCAGGAGCATATGCTCGATCTCCATTCAACGTATCTAAAAGCAAAAAGGAAAGAAAGAGAGAGAGAGAAAAGTCAATCTATCGAGCTATGAACTTTGTTGTTTGCATCCTGGAGGACCAAGTGTCGGTAAGCCTGTATCTCGGTTGCTAGCATGCATGTACTGATGCACGCCTCCCTTGTGATTGCTTCGACTTTAAGCTCACTCATGTACTAGTATTTTTTTTTTGACACTCAAAGTGAGGAGGAGGAGGAAGAAGAAACAACAAGCAAAGGCAAAAGAAATCGAGCGTGTGAGTGAGTGAGCCCCCACGGACCGATACAAAAAAAACCCGTGTGCCACGACGTGCGATGCATTCATATGCATGCATCCATCCTCGTTTTTTTTTATTATTCCCTGTGTAATAATAATCGAGCCCGTCGACCAGTGCATCTGGATATATATATATATCCGGTGCTCCAGAGAAATTTTTCACGTGCCATTACACCGTACACGCATATGGAGTGTACACGACGCGCAAAACAAAATTTCGCCGGGGAGCAGCGAAAACGGCGTGCAGGACCAGCACAGTGAGAGGGCGACGGGTCGACCATGTGAGGAAGGACGGGAAAGAGAGAGAGAGAGAGCGAGCGCGTAGTACAGTACAGTACGTGCCTCGACCGGAAAAAAGGGGGCCGGCCAAAATAGCATGGAACTGCTAAACCGAGGCGCGCGGGCGCATGCATATGTGACCGTGATCCCGTGCTGCTACGATGACGCACGGCGAGCGCGGGGTGTATCGGCATCGGCCACGGCCATCAGGCCAGGCAGCAGGAGGGGGCAGGAGGCAGCTAGCTAGCTGTAGAGCCGTAGAGGTAGCAGCTAACTAGGTGGCCAGCCAGCCAGCGAGACAGACAGCGGCGCGGCATGCAGAGGAGGCAGGGCAGAGCTAGAGAGAGAGGGGGTCGGCTCGGCCCGGCCGCCGGGGGGGCCCCTCTCGCCACGGCGCGCGCCATGGCGTGGCTGGCCTGCCTGCGCTGAGACGCTGCACCGCACTGCATGCTACGCCTACGCGGGGGGGGGGGAGGGGGGGGGGGGGCGGACAGCGTTGTGGTACGAAACCGAGCGTGCCGCCCGCCGCGCGCCGTAGGATGGTCCATCGAGACGCGCGCGGTCGAGAGGACGGACGCGGCACTGCACGGCATGGCACGTTGCTTTCGTTCGCGCCGCTGCCGCTACCACACCCACACCACGCGCCTACTATCCCCCCCCCCCCCCCCCCGGCTGTGGAGGAGTCGCAACCTCCGCTCGCTCTAGGATCCGAGTGACTAGCTCCGGCCGCTGCCGCAGCGGCAGCACATGCAGATGCAGATCGACGCGCGGCTCGGGTCGCCGGGTCGCGCGCGCGGGAGGTGTGGTTGCGGTGTGCAGTTGCGGGCTGCGGCGGGGGGAGTCGCTCGCTCGTGAGTCGCGACGTGTTCGACTCGGCGCATCGATCGGTGCGCGGGGGCACGGCCGGGCCGGGGGAGGGGGACCGAGTCGTGTACGCTCGGGTACATTGTCCGTTGGTGTTGCCGGGTACGAGGGAGTACGGTATCGACGAGGAGTGCGATGCATTGCGGGGATGAGCTAGAGGGGACGGAACGAGTTATCTAATCGGTTCTGACCACATACTCCCTCCACCCATTCCATAATATAAGAGATTCTGACATTTTGCTTGCACTATTTGATTATTCGTTTTATTTAAAATATTTGTACAGATATTAAAAAAACGAAAAGTTTTGCTTAAAATAATTTGGATAATAAAGTAAGTCAAAAAAATAATTCCAATTTTTTGCAAGTAAAATGTTAAAATCTCTTATATTAGAAGACAGAGTGAGTATATGAGAAAAGAGGATTTTTTTGAAAAAAAAATAAACTAGACTTATGGCTTGTTATTTTATTCAAATTTCAATTACAACTTTCTCATTTTTTTCGTAAACACACTTTTAAAAGGTTAAATGATACGTATTTTTCTTGAACAAGTTTATATAAAAGTTTTTAAACATTAATTAAATCTAATCTTTCATGTTTGTAATAGTTAATACTATTTAATTAATCATTTGACAATAAGTTTTTCTTATTTTGCGTGTGGCTGAAAATCTCTTCCAATCTAAAATAACGAATGCAGCCTTAGGAAATGAGCCATTCCAGCCATTTTGCTTATATAGTCAAAATTCAAAGCTAATACGAGTAAAACCCAAATCAAGTGACAAACATTTCAAAAGGACAATGTTAAAAAAAACACGAATATTAGGAAAGAACCTAATATCAAATAATTAAAAGGGGTGAGATTTCGAATTTAGGCCAGCTAGCCTACCACCCTGTGGAGCTAGGCGAAAAACTCTAAACGTTTCTCTACAAGGACAATTGTTTCTAATAACCACATTCCAACCTTATCTCCAATTCCAAATTTCCAATCGCTAGTAACGACCGACTATATATACTGAGTAACACTAGTAAGACTATTTTTAGAGAGAGAACGATTCAATGATTCATACATATAGCCAAGTGAAAAAGATTGGTATAGATAGGGCTAATTAATCCTGCCCCCGCCGTTTTCTCTCGGTTTGTTAATCTTAACCGTGGATGTCAACATCACACATTGTGTACCAATCGCCATCTCACCACCTTTCCTTTTGCACTATAAATAAATCCGAACGGCCTCTGCTTCTCGAAGCCCGGCCTGTAGCCTCGCCTCGCCTCCCTCCGCCGCCCCGGTTACGCAACCAAATACCGACGGCGCCGCCCGCCGACGAGCCTTCTCCCTTCGCGCCGCCCCCTCGCAGCATCCTCGTGCCCTCCTCCGGCATCTTCCTGCGCCGCGTTAGCATCGTCTGTCGGCGCCGTCGGAGGTTCTGCTCGGAGCTCGCTTCCGATGGACGGCGCGGCGACGGGCACGGAGCGCCTCTGCCCTCTAGGATGAGGGGCCGGAGACGTCGCCGGCGGAGGCTTGTGCAAGTACGAGCACTTAATATTCTCCCCTACTCTATTCCTTTTCCATTTGAGAAAATTAGAAGAAGAAGAAAAAAAAAACTCGGTTACTTTATTTCTTTGTGAGAAATGTGGGATTCGATAAGATATGGCCTTGCTCGTGCTGTTCTAATGCGCTGTAACTGTGGGTGACGGCGGTGCGTTTGGTATTTGTTGATAATGTATTGCTTCGTCGCTGCACATTCTGCGAGCCTCTGCTTGGAAAAGCAAACCAGCAATATTTCGGTGTACCATCACTAACTGGAGTAGCTGCGGCTTGTTCTGTTCGGTTCAGCATGATCTTATTTCAGAGTTTATTCGGTGGATTGATATGAAAACGATTTTTTGTACGGATTAAACCGCACGGAAAATACCGCTGAACTGGAAATTTTTTTTGAAGAAACGGTGGCCCGTGGAAATATTTTATATGATCTGTTCCTTATAACATTTGGGTAGGAGACTAGGAGGAACATAATGTGCTCCAACTGTGCCACGGCATGCAAACCATTTACAGATAGCACAGAAGATTGATGAACTAACATTATGGTAATTGAGTTCTGCTGCAATAGTAACTGACATAGCTTGAGCGCTTTCGAAATAAAATGGTTTAGGATATCATGTACTTACATATCATGTGTTAGTATGTCTGCAATAGGCAATGGTAACTTCCTGTTCCTGTGGTTAAACATTAACCGAGCTTTTCTTGAAATAATATACTGATGTAATTAGCTTATGATCCCATGTTCGTTTTATTTTCCATTTATTTATTTATAGGTAAATGATCTTTGCAACTGTCCTATAAATATAACTTTTTTTTATTCAGGTCATCTATGCTAGCACACTTGATGACTGATGTCATGGAAGATAATTCTTCATGGACAGCTCTTTCTATTGATCACATTAGAATTTCTGCATTCAATTTCGGAATTGTCTCCGAGGATAACGATGAAGGCAAAGAATTTTTGCTTTCATTGGACACTGTTGTTCCTGATGATATCCTGGAGAGAATTTTCACGTTTTTACCTATAGTAAGCATGATAAGGTCAACAGCAGTTTGCAAAAGATGGCATGACATTATCTACTCAAGCAGGTTTCTTTGGACCCACATGTTGCCTCAGAGGCCATGGTACTTTATGTTCACTTCTAATGAAAGTGCTGCTGGGTATGCATATGACCCGATTCTCCGCAAATGGTATGATTTAGAGCTTCCATGCATAGATAAGAGCAGTTGCTTTGTCTCTTCTTCTTGCGGATTAGTTTGTTTCATGGACAATGACAGCAGGAATGCCATTTCTGTATCTAATCCTATCACAAAAGATTGTAAGAGAATTTTGGAGCCCCCTGGTGCAAAGTTTCCAGACTACAGCACAATTGCCATAAAGGTAGATCGTTCCTCTCATAATTACACCATTACATTGGCAAAATGCAAGCAAGTTCCAGAGGATTACGTCCGATGGGATTTCTCTTTATACAAGTATGACTCACAGAGTAGTTCATGGGTGACTGCGGTTGAGGAGGTGTTCATTGGTTGGAGAGGGGGTGATGACAGCGTGATATGTGATGGAGTATTGTACTGTTTAATTCACTCCACAGGCATTCTTGGTAATATTGAACCGCGTCATAGCATTATCATGTATGACCTTATTGCTGGGCCTTCTAAGGCGTCACTAATGCAATCGTCGATCCCAGCACCTTGCTCTCTCACCTGTGGACGTCTGCTTAACTTGAGGGAGAAGCTGGTTCTGGTTGGTGGGATTGCAAAACAGAACAGACCTGACATCATCAAAGGAATTGGAATATGGGAACTTCACAAAAAACAATGGCAAGAGGTAGGTCGAATGCCTCATAAATTATTTCAAGGATTTGGTGAGTTTGATGATGTATTTGCTAGCAGTGGCACAGACGACCTTGTCTACATCCAAAGCTATGGTGCAACTGCTTTGCTTGCTTTCGATACGAAGCAGAAGCAGTGGAAGTGGTCCGCAAAATGCCCTGTGAGCAAAAGATTTCCTCTCCAGCTTTTCACTGGCTTTTGCTTTGAACCTCGGCTTGATATTACCACTTAATTGTAATGCCTTCCAATGGAATCAGGTTGGCAGTCCTGGTCTTTGTGAATATATGCATGCTTCATTAGATTGTTGCGTCACATGCAATGTGCTCTCCTTTGCTTATCATCCCACATTCGTCCTGATGGATGCAATTTCCTTTGCCTCTTTTCATTGGATTAATTAATCTTTAGAATGTTGATCTCTCTCTCTCTCTCTATAATAATGCCTGTTTACAAATGTACCTCTATTTTCTTTAAAAACAATGCATAGATCTATGCTATTTATCACATTTATCTGAATTCTCAAGTTCAGCCATGTACTGCCTCGACAAAACCTGCATACAATGTCTTTGCTTGATGCAGGCCTTAGAACCTGTCCATATAAACTGAATGAGCTATTGTCCTTACAGCATGTCTAGACAGATAAATTTTGCAGCGCCATAAGTTACATGTCTTTTCATCGCGCAACTTCCTGTATGTGATATCTAAATTTTTGTCCTTTGCGGTCTCAAGGGACAAGTTCAACTGTATGCGTTTTGTTTCTTGTGATACTTCATCAGTGATGGGCCTACCACTGATGTTTGCTGCTCCGGAACAGTTTGCACACTGGATGTACAAGGCGATTGAAAGTCGTTTGTCTGTACACTGACCAGTCACTACTAGCTGATTTTGTAGAATCATCATGGGCCAAATCCAGGTTTCCTCTTGTAGGAGCTGGCCCATCCCTGAAACCGCCGTGACTCTGCATCGTGATGCAAGTGTGAGCCAGAGGTGCCATTGATGAGATTCCAGCTCGTCATCACAGCTCCTCTGTATGTAGTGCTCAGTTGTGACATTAATAGTTCAGCCGTCTCAGCGTTTCTCAGAATGGTGTCACGCGCTCATGCTCTGCATATGATTTTGTTTTGTTGCCTTGCAGATTGCAATGTTCTCTCTCTCTTTTCTTTTGGCCGTACGTTTTAGCTGGTTAGCTCACTCTAGGTATGGCACCATGATATGGGGCCAATTCGTCTGCTGTTTTTCTTTGTTAATCTTTACCGTGTCTCTGATTTGTTACCAGTTCTGCGTGCTGTTTTAATCAGAACTAGCTGGGTGGCCCGCTCAATTCGCAATTGCGCGGCTAGCACCCAAACAAAATCATATATTTTTTAAGTATGATTTTACTTAAAATTTATTAAATAGCTATCTAGCTATTTCATTGTCTTAAGACTTTGAAAGACCAAACCTTATCATCCTCGTGTTTCTAATTATATAGTTTTTAAAAGTCACACCAGTTGCTACCTCTTATGTCATCTCCTTCTCTATTTGCTTGCTTGATCTACCACTATTTTCATTCATTCTTCTTGGAACCTTTAAAAATTGGATTTTATAGTTTTTAGAGTTTATTGTCATATTGGGTTTCATTTCTAGATGTCCCATCAAACGTTGACATTATACTACTCTACGGCCCGTCCACTGTCTCTTCTCATTGTTGTCATTGAGATTTTAAAAATCGAACATAATTATTGTTTGGGTTCATTTTTTACTTTCTAGAAGTCCCGCTAAACCATCAATGGCTTTGCTATTGTACTCCTCTACGGCTCGCCCGCTGCCTCCCTTCTTTATTGGCATTGAGATTTTAAAATCGAACATGATTATCATTGGTTTTTTTTTTACTTTTTAGAAGTTCAAAACCTTTAAAAATTGGACTTGTAGTTTTATTTTTTATAATTTTTAGAAGTCCCATCAAACGATGCTACAATGCCCCTCTACAGCCCGTCCGCCGCCAACTCTTTATTGTTGTGATTCTAAAAATCAAACATAACTGTCGTTGGAATTCATTTTTTATTTTCTAGAAGTCCTGTCAACCGTCGGCGGCTCTGCAACTATACTCTTATACGCCCCGCCTGCTGCTTCTCCTTTTTATTATCATTGAAATTTTAAAAATTGAATATGATTATCAATTGATTTTTTTTTACTTTCTAGAAGTCCCGGCAATCGTCTTACTCATTTGCTTCACGGCCTGCCTGACGTCTCTCCTTTTAATCGTCATTAGGATTCTATTTGGTGTTTTATTAACAATTTTTATATCTCATATCAACCGCCACCACTCTACTTCTTTATAGGCATGTTACTTAATTTATTTTGTCATGTGTTTTAGATGGTCTTTTCTTTCAATAATCTTTATTTTTATCACAAATTTTAGTTATTTATAAATTGTATTCCTAATTGATATCTTATTTTTCATTTTCTAATTTCAGAATTTTTTTAAAAAATTTTAGTTAATATCGTATTGTGTTATTTTAATGTTTTTATTTTTTATTTTCAATTTCAGTTGTTTCAAAATTGTATTCCTATTTGAACTCTCTTTTATTTTTTCTAGTTTTAGATATTATTTTATTTTTATTCTAATTTTTAATTAATCTCGTATTGGATTCTTCTTTCAATATTGCTTATTTTTAATTTCGAATTTCAGTTATTTTTAAATTATACTTCTACTTGGACTCTCCTTTTTCTTTTTTTATTTTTCTCCAATTAATGTGGGAATTATTTTTATTCCGAATTTTAATTAATCTTGTATTGAGTTATTATATAGACTCTTATTTTAATATTTCTTATTTTTAATTCCGAATTTCAGATATTTTTAAATTGTATTCCTACTTGGACTCTCATTTTCTTTTTTAATTTTGGATTTTATTTTATTTTTATTTCGATTTTTGATTAATCTCGTATTGGGTTCTTATATGGAAACTTATTTTAATATTCCTTATTTTTAATTCCGAATTTCAGCTATTTTTAAATTGTTTTTTTTACTTGGACTCTCCTTTCCTTTTCTGATTTTGGATTTTTATATTTTTATTTCGAATTTTGATTAATCTCGTATTGGGTTCTTATATAGAAACTTCTTTCAATATTGCTTATTTTTAATTTTGAATTTCAGCTATTTTTAAATTGTACTTCTACTTGGACTCTCCTTTTTCTTTTCTTTTTCTTTTTCTCCGATTAATGTGGGAATTTCTAACCCCCACAACGAACATGGTGCGTCATTTCAAAGTTGTTTTAATAATATAATAGATAGATAGATAGATAGATATTGCTTGACAGATGTGTCCTATCTTACAGGTTTGGAATCCTTTTTGTTGGTTAAGAAAGCAGTAATCGCCTGTTGCTTGCTGCTCTTATCAGCTGTCACAGACAAACCCTTTGGCTTCTCACCCTCTTAACCTTGTTCACTTTTATCCAGACCAGATAATATATGAGGTGAGTGTTTTTAGATGAACACAATGGGAAACACTGCGTATGCAGTCATGGAATTATTTTTATCTCTTAGATTGTTAATGGCATGGTGTTTCCTTTTCTGGATGCTTACACAGAAACGAAATACAAATAGGGAAGAAAAAAAGAAGAAGAAAGGGATGAAGTACCCGATTTCATTGTGTTTGAATCTTCTCCTGCACTTTCCAGTTTCATCGTACCATTTGGCCATTTGAGCCCTTTAGGCTCGTGCTTCGTGTCCAACTTTGTAGCCACCGAATTACTGCAACTTCGTGGGGATTAATCGAGATTTTGATGTGCACTCTAGTCTATCTTGGCTGGCCATCCAACTTGCCCTTGTCCTCTACGGGTTGCAAGTGGCCACGCACAGTTGCGTTGGTCTACGCACCGTAGATCACGCCGCTGGTGTCGACGAATTTAACTTGGTTCAAGATGTGCCATGTGTGCCGTGTGTTGCCTTGTCCGGGAAAGATGGAAATTCTGAATGTGTGGTTTACTAGTACAAGGATTATTTCATCCAAAGAGGGAAAAAAAATCTGCGAGTTCCCTTCAGTAGAAAATGGGTAGCAGAACATTATTGTTTTAAGCTGAGTTCTAGATGTGTGGACAGTTTTCCATATTCAGATGAAATTCAGTCCTTAATTTTTCTTCTAAGAAATGGTTTGGTTGAGAGGGTTAGAAACAGCTGCAACTGTGTTTTTTCTCCTTTCTCAACGAAAGGCAGGATTGCTACCGTCGGATTGAGAAGGCAAATAGGTATTTATAATACAGAAACGAGTTTACAGGAGGCTATAAGTACTAAAACTCAGGCCTGTCGAAAAACACAGGCTGATGAATGATGATTGAATGAACAGAGACAACTGGGCCTTAACCCAGTGCACTCACTACTCTGAATAATGATCAAAGCACTTATTTGCATGCATATCTACCATGCAGTAAAAATGAATTCTGACGTATGATCAGTGTTCATTGGACCACTTAGAGCTCATTCAGAGTTTCAGGCTAATAATAAAACTAAGACTAACCGCTCCCCGCGTCGCTCTTGCACAGATTTCTCGGGGGCGAAACCCTAGCCGCCTGCGTCGCCACCTTCCATCCACCCTCAACGCCTCGCCGTCGCCGGAGCTCGCTGCTGCAAAGGCGAGCGGCCAACTGGGAAGGCGGTGGTGAGGACATCGTGAGTCGTGACCCAGCGAAGCTCGCCCTTGGCACGAGAGGACGGAGCGGCGCATGGCGTTGCAGGTCCACAGCGGCTAGAGTCGATCGGCAAGGGCGCAATGGATCCGACGCTCTCGGAAGTGGATTTGGCATTCCCAATGCAGGGGCGCAGACGGCGGTGGAGGTTGGCAGCTGGAGAGAAGGTGGTGGCGGCAGTGGCGGTGGTGCCGGATCTAGAGCTCCCAGATCCAGTTCGACAGTGGCGCTGTGACAGGAGGAAGCGCACGGCGCCGGCCGACACGACGACGTGTGGCCGGCGAAGCGCGTGGAGAGTGCGACACCTGTTGTGGGGCTCCAGAGGGAAGACCATGATGATGGCCCTGGCATGAAGGAGCACGATTAGTGGAACATGGCCGGCGTGGTGGCGAGCCTGCTATGGTGGAGCACGGCAAGGTGAGGTGGTGCGGTGACGAGACTGTCACAGTGGGAGGACGGAGGCGAAGGTGATGCGACCAGGCGGCCCGTAGGAGACACGGGCAGCCTGGTCGAGATGGCGGCAACAACGGTAGCATCATAAGAGGGGCGTTGAGGACTGCGACAAGCTCCTCTCTAGGTGTTGGTCCTCTTGCGGCGGCGATTTGCCATCGCAAGATGGCCACACTGGATGGACTAGTGCGGGGAGAGGGGATTCATCTTCTCTCTGACCCTCTTCCTCTCCAGCCCACCCATGTGGATGAATCTGGAGCACGCCAGAGGTCGAGATGCTTCTTCGATGGCCGGCCGGTGGTGAGGCGTCGACACGGTGGCTGCGTGTTGAAGAGGATTAGCTAGTAGTGTCTGTTGAACTTGACATGCACACATTGACATGAGAAAGTAG